CAAGAATAACCCTCTTCCACCCTCCATATTCCATCACAGTCCTTTGCAGGAAAAAAAGGTGTAAAAGTGAAAGAGGTCAGACGAACTTCAATCTCTATTTACTTACCTCTCATATGTTTTTAACTGAATGCACTAAAGTATGTGATCTCTTTGGTGAAGTTATCGACAAAAAATGCCTTTCTGTTGCCTCTAGAAAAGATAAATGACTCTGGAATTTGTTCTAAGAGAAAAAAAAATTAGTAAGATCAAAAGGAATTTGAGCCAGAAGTAGTGGCTAGATAGGGGAAGGAAAAGGAAGGGAGAAGAAAATGATTTGAGACTGTCAAAGCAGGAAACTTCCTGGGTGGCCTGAAAGTGAAGTTGCTCAACCTAAAAGGAGAATGAGAACACTGGCTTCTTGGAGCTGCAGATCAAGAATATGACTCAAGGGAGGCATCCAGATCAAAAGGGTTCAGGAAGGGCCTCCCTGGTGGCACAAGGGGTTAAGACACAACCTATGAAGCTATTGGCAGCCACTGCAGCAGGAGCTGGATCCCCAGGCGGGGACGTGATCCACACGGCACAGCAGACCTCTCCTGACTCATCCTCTGTATTTCAGTAGATCTGCCGGTTCTGCTCCCCACCCTGTCTCTCGTGAATCCTCTCACCACCACCTCCTTGCACTTCTGGCCTGTACCCCAGTTCTTGTATGCATAAATAAATAAATCTTTAGGGGCCTCCCTGATGGCGCAAGGGGTGAAGACACAACCTATGAAGCTATCCGCAGCTACTGCAGCACGAGTTTGATCCCCGGCCAGGGAGGTGACCCACATGGCGCAGCAGACCTCTCCTGACTCACCCGCTGCTCTCCTCAGCAGTGTATTTCAGTCAATTTACCTGTTCTGCTCCCCACTCTCTCTGGTGAATCCTCTCTCTTTTCTTGAAATTCTCCAGTGTGTCAAGGAATATATATATGGTTTTGAATGAGGAAAGTGCACAGATTTTGTATACCCAATTTCGACAGAACCAAAGTCTGGGCAAACAATGCCATACATTTTCATCATATACTGCTATTTTCTTATTTAAAAGGACATTTTGACACTTTGATAAAAAAGAGAAGGTTAAGGGGTAGTAGGTTTTCAATGAATATCAGCTAAGCCTTGGGTGAATGAATGAATGAGCTACTGATGGCACAAGTCTAGATAAAAATAGACACAGAAAGAGGAATAGAAAAAGGACAGATGCACAAGAGCTACAGAAAGGAAGCAGAAAGAGGAGAGAAGTGGGAAAGAGACCTGAGGGTCAATAAACTCTAACCAGACATTCTGGTTTTTCCACTAACTTGAACTTGATAATTTGACCAGCAGAGAGGCAAGGCACTAGGGTGAAAAGAGAATAGATTGAAGACAGATATCTGAATTCTGACTTTTACTTAGTCATTGTGTGACCTTGGACAAGCAACTCAACCTCTATGAACTTTTTTTTTTTTCCTGAAGAATTTTAGATTTACAGAAAAATTGCAAAAATAGTACAGTGAGTTCCCGTACAGCCTTCATCCTGCTTCTCCGAAGTTAGCATCTTTCATAACCACCAAAACCAGGAAATTCACACTGATATATTAGCACATTACACATTTTATTAGAATTTCAGTAGTTTTCTAGCCCAAGAACCAATAAAATCTATACTGTGTTTAGTGGTTATATCTCCTTGTCTCCTCTAGTCTCCGGTCCTCAGATTTTTCTACCTTTTAGGACCTTGATACTTTTGAAGAGTAGGCTGTCCCTCAGTGAGGGGTTGCCTGATTTTCTCCCCCTCATGATTAGTTTTGGGTTATGCATTTTATTCATTTATTGATTCACTGAGTCAATCAAGAACTCCATGAAGATGATGACATGCCTTGCATAAGGCATCCTATCAGGAGTTACTTACTAAGTATCATGTCTTATTACTGATCATGTTGACCTTGAGTACTTATTTAAGGTCGTGTCCACTGGGCTTCTCCACTGTTCTATGATTTCTTTCATAATTAATAAATATTCCATGCAGAGATACTTTGAGACCAGGCAAATAGCTTATTTCTCACCATATGTTTGCACAAAAATCTTAGCACTCATCAGTGACTTGCCTGTAGCAATTTATTATTGTGGTGTCCTAAACGAGATTCCTATTCCCTCTTTCCTTCTGCATGTACTAATTACAATTCTTCTCTAAGGAAGAGCTGTACCTTTCCTCTCCTTCCACTGATTTATTTATTCAATTATTTATTTACATCAGTATGGACTCATGAATATTTATAATCCAATACTATCAGTATTTACTTTGTTGTTTAAGCTTCATTTTCCTCATCTGTGAGTCGGGGATAATTAGAATGGCCTTACATAACTGTCATAAATATTAAATGGAATTGAAAAATGTGAAGGTGTCCAGTGCACCTACAAAATAAATTCTAGCTCCTTCCCTTCCTCTTTTTACAGAAAGCGAAATATGAGTTTATACATTTTCTTTGAATGCAATGCTGCTTTTCTACCCTAAGGTATACAAACAACTAGCATTAGCTATCTCTGCATTGTCCAGTGGAGGTTATTTGGAATCTATTGTAATGTCTATGTAAGGGGGATTTTAACTTTATTTAGTGTTTAAAATATAGCCCTTTTTTTGTTATGATGTTACAGGATTACTTTGATTCTTCCAAAGAAGAAGTGCATATAAAGAAATTTGAAACAAAACAGAAAAATAACAACAAAACCAATAGCTGGAAAGAGATGTTTGGAATATCCTACCTTACTATTTTCAATACTAGGATTACCACTACTATGATATAAGCACAGACCGATGTTTCAGTCAACAAAAGACCACATATACAATGGAGGTCCCCAAATTCCCACTGTTTAGTGATAAGACTGATTTTTAATCAGCATATCATAATTTATATGAAGATAGATGTTTGAGAATACTTGAAAACACAGTGTTCTCTAAAGTAGTTTAAGTGTTTTTCCAGAAAGCTTATTTATGTTCTAAAGTTGCTTAGCTAAACTATTTTCAGAGATAGTCCAAAGCATGTCTTGACCCAGCTGGAGGTCACATCATCACTAATTCTGAATTAGTGAAATCACTGATTCCTTTCTGATTTCTAAGGTCATGGTAGTGAATGGAAGAAATTCAAGTTTTCTTTCTCCAAAATAAATTTAAGAGTAGAGTTTAAAAGCTCAGGCAAATCACTTTTAAGTCCAAGTGGAATTTCACAACAACAAAGGGCAAGGATAGAGGCCTAAGGGTGCTTGAGTGAGTAGATCCGGAAGTTTAAAATAATTCATGAAAAACAGCAAAATCCACTAATAAAATTACTCCGTTCACTAGAGCATTCACTTTCCACCTCCTTTTTTTCCTGTTTTGAATTTAGAGAAGAGGAACTAGGTTGTATCCTCTGCTGCTGTGCATTTTTTAAAAATGCAGATATAATTGATATTCTATCCTGTTTTTATCAGTAAGGAAAATCAAGAACATAGGTTTACTTTTGCAAGCAACTTCGGGGCACTGTGGTTCATGAACTCTAGGTGAATTCTCAGAGTCTGCCTTACTCAGTTTGGTATGGGACCAGAAATCTGAATTTTTAGCAGGCGTCACTCTCCAGCATGAGCTTGATATAGGACACTTCATGGTTCAGAGCTCAGTTCTGGGGCATGACGATGTGGGTTTAAATCTTTTGAGTGCTTAGGCAAACGACTTCACCTCCTGTTCCTTAGTGACCCTCTTGGAAAGATGGGGTTAATGAAAGTATCTGTCTCGGACAATTATTGTGAAGAGAAAATAAGCAAATATTAAAGATTACCATGCTCCATGGATTAAGCATCTGCTGTCTTTATCGATAGCAGACCTCCCCTGAGGAACAGTGTCCAGGGCATGTCTGGACACAAGGGGCAGACTGCACCTAATGCTTTCTGCATCACTGGGCCTTGCTGTGGTTACTGACACAACCTCCACCTGGGTCATGATTGGCAGGCCACAGGCTGCAAGGTGAGTTGCTATAGTTAGAAACGGTGTAAGTAACGGAGGTTGATCCTCTGTCAATTACAGATACAGAACCCAGAATTAGAGCATCCTCTTAGCACCTAGGTAGTTTATTAAATGACTAAAATAGGAAACTTCTGTGTTTGTTGAGTTAAGCCAATCAACAACCAACAAACACTGGAAATTTTGTGTTTTAATGGTCAAGGCAGTAGAAATCAAGTCTAAAAGAATGAAAATGCACAGTAGAAAATGCTGAGTGTGAGATTATACTGTGGAGACAAAATGCTCTCTGACTCCAGCATTGCAACAGAGACATGATTCTCATTCCTGTCCCTCATCCTGGCCCCAGGGCCACAGACACCAGCCATTAACTTCCCATTCCCACATTCTCTCCTTGGGCCCTAGAATTGCACAGTGGCTCCCTTCAGTGTTCCTTGACTCTGTTTACAGCAGTCCTTTTCATAACTAGCTCTAGCAAGGTCTCAGAGGCCTTGTAGGGCCTTTCTGAGGCTCAGGATCTTGATGTGATACCCTTCAATCCCACATTCCTCCCTACTCTCCTGACCTGACAATGCTGGTTTTTTGGTTTCAGTGGAGGAGGCCTGGTAGAGGGAGAGGGGTGAGCCATCTGGATCTCAGGGATCATGTTGTCAAAACTCAAAATTGGCACCTCTGGCCTTAAAAGACCTTTAGGAACAGGGAGAGAATATTGGAAAATGGGTCCAGAGAGAATATTTGGGGGGACTTGTTGTCCTAAGGGGCAAAGCCTGTGGACTTGGTAATGACAAGAAATGGAAATAGGCTTACTGAGGCTTAAGGGTACGTTGGAATGAAGTGAAAGGAAGGACAACAGTGTTTTTTAGCTCATTGCCTGGAAACAAAGCAGTTATCATGGAAATGGCAAGCAGAGAGGCAGCTGAGATATCAGTAACAGGCAAAACTAAAAGGAGAAATATGCTTAAAATTTATTTGCTGTGATTCAGTTAGAAAATCATCCTAGAGTGACTTCTTACCTCATTGAATCTCATCACAAGATCTTCAAGGGCATTGTGTTCTCCATTCTGGGAGGTAAGAATTGCTGCTGAGATGGATGCTTTAAGGGAGGGCAGGGATCTCTGACATTCTGGAGTGCCCAAGTCCCGAGTTAAGAAGCAAAGGTAATCAACTGGCAAGACCTTCCGGTAAATATTCTGTTCCTGCTCCATTAGGATGCTGGCAACTTCCTCTGGGAACTGGATGAGGGGCTGTAGATCAACCAGTTCTTTGCTGATCCCAGCTGAACTTGAAGGGAGGGCACTGGAATTAGCCATAGAGGTACCTGGTTGGCGTTCTGAAATAAAGCAACAAGAGTCAGGGTTACACCACGGCTGGCATTTCCAAGAACAGAAATTCACCTGCAAACCTTTCAAAATTTTGTAGATTTTTTAAAGCAAAGTTGCCACACTTTCTTATTATGAAAACATCTTTGGTAATTGTCTTGTATTTTCCAGATGGAAGTGGAATGAAGGGTGAGGGGGGCAGAGATAAAGGTGTAGTTTTCCATTTTAAGAAGCATCATTGATCTAGTACACCATTCTGTAACCATTTCGCTACCATTTGCTTCCTAATCTTTCATCAGAATGAAAAGAAATGAGGCCAATGGAACTGAGCTAATGGAAATGGAAGATAAAGAAGGCTGTAGGGAGAGGGGACATTACATGTACATGGTGTGTAAACATAGAGGAGACTTAGGGACCTTTTGCACCTAGGTTTTAAAACGTATTTAAAAAACTTGGACCTACCCCTACCAATGTCTCTTAACTTTCTGCCTATAACTCATTCATTCATTCATCTACTTAACCATTCACCCACCCAATCTTTTAAAACACTCTGAAAAGCTATCATGAGTTTTAGAACAGGATTTCCCAGAGTATGAGTGGTTTTATGACCAACAAAGTTAGGGAAATGTCACATATTCACATCACACATCTCTTCATGGGAATACATGAGGCACATGGGTATACCGTTAAAGGTGCGATAAAGAAATTCATTTACACTGTTCAGCCGAATGTTCCTCTAGAGTCATCCATACTTTATAGAACACGGCATCCTGGGAGACTAGCATTCCTTGGAACCACTTCAGGAAATGCTGCCTGTGGGTGAAGCTGCTCTCACTCTCCATCTAGTTCATGTCTTCTTTCTGGCTGTTCCTCCCTGGCCAACCTCCTTCCCCCGCTTCCTGTGCTTCAAGAGGGGACTGCATTCTGCTTGCCCAGAATCTTTCTTTACATTCCTAGTTGCTGGAAACACCCCTATTGACTCCTTGACAAAATCAAGCTCGTCTGTCCTCTCATGGCACCAGAGTACTCTCCACTGACTGTCATCTGGACTTGAGCAGAGGGCATAAGGATGACTTCCCCCACCACAGGCCTCAGTCTCCTGAGACTCTTTTTGTCTCTCTGTAGAAAACATTGGATTCATCACTTCCAAAGACTCCACTGTATATTATTGAATTCTAAAGTCATTACCCCTGAATTTGACCTTTTTCCTTCTACCCTTTCTGTTCTACTAGATTTTCTGTGTTTTCAGCAGACTTCTAGATCCTTGGTCTTGGTCTGGGTGTGTGGCTGGCTTTTTAACATGGCACCACCAACATCCAAGCCCCCTTACATTCACCCTGACTTTCTATCACCTGCACTTCCCAATCCTAGACAAGCTCAACCAGTCATCCTTGCCTTCTGGGCTGCTTGCTATAGGGTCATTGACATCTGCACTTCTTAGCAATAGGACCTTTTGTTAATTAATGTTATCCAAATTCAAAAAAAAATTCAGCAAGACAATCAGGACTCCTTCAAAACTGACACGTATTTACAGCTGACCCATGAACAACATGGGTTTAAACTGTGCAGGTCACCTATGAGATTTTTGAGGACATAAACTTATGGTATCAACAAATTGGATTAAATTTGGGGCCTCCCTGGTGGCGCAGGCGGTTGAGCGCAGCACTGTGAAGCTGTCCACAGTCTCTGCAGTGCCGCTTCAATCCCCGCCGGCCTCAGAGCAACCCACATGGCTAATGGACTGCTCCTGTTTCGCCCGCTGCTCACCTCAGCATTGTATTTCATCAGTCTGCCTGTTCTGTTCCCTGCTCTGTCTCTGGTGAATCCTCTCACCCTCCCATGCATCTGGCCTGTACCCTGGTTCTTGTATAAATAAAATAAATCTTTAAAAAAGAAATAAGTAAGAGTAGCATCACAGCATCAAGGAAACATCACAAGGAAATTAAAAAAAAAATTTGTAGGCAGTTTTTTTTAAATTAAATATTAGATTCATTAACTATATTTTAATCTTTGAGTGGCACCATTCCAATGATATAACCTAAGACAGAGAGAGGAGGGATGTTGATTCCTTTTTATAAATGATTTAGAGTTGGCTTAAAGACTTGAAATCTCAGGCAGAGTTGAAAATTGCTTTTCAACAGGGAGGCGATAGGTTTAGAGAAAGTTTAGTTAATTGGAGAGTCTCATTATCTGTTATTGGTTCTCAGAGCAACAAATCAATCTTGTAACATGTCTCGCTTGTCCTCAGTCTACTTGAGAAAGGTTAGCTCACAAAATCAATGAAGCATATTATTTTTTAGTCAGCACTTCAAAGAAAACAAAAAAACAATATGCTTAGGTTGAGAATTAAGTCATATTCAGATAAAATAGTTCATCATACTGAAAAGCGTAATAGTAGAAAAAAATCTGACAGAATTCCAACTAGTAAAAATAACATCTTTCCAAAGAGAGATGATGAATTCACTATAAAAGCATGAAAAATCTAGAGACTTATAAAGAAGAAAATAAAAATAATCTATAATCCCATGCCCAGGTATAATTGTTGTTGCTAATATTTTTGTTGAAACATTTCATGTTTTTTCTATAAACACACAGTATTTACAAAACTTTAAGTTTTTAAATAATCTTACTCTATGGTACACATTTCTCCAACTCTAAAACTAGTCTTCTAATATTTGATTTAAATAACTCTTTTGTAGTCAATATTTATGTTTACTACCTTTGATGCAATTTTAAATAATACTCTGAGGAACAGTGGAACAGTATTGTAAAAATATCTTTATATGGACTTTTTATGTCATATAATAATATTGCACATGAGAAAAACTCACATTGGAAAATTTCTAGGGAGCAGTAGTTTCTTTTCTTTTTATAGTACAGTAACTAGTGGTTTTAGCAGTATCTCCTACCTATTTCTGATGACCTTGGGTAAACAAAACTAACTGAGCCAAAATTCATTCAGTAAGCAGCAACAGCGTGTTGCTCTGTGTAGAGTACAATGTTGAATAGAATTGGTGAGAATGGATATCTTTGGTTCCTGATCTTAGGTGGAAAGCTTTCAGCCTTCCACCATGAGGTATTATGGTGGATTTTTTACAGATGTTCTTTATCACTATGCCACACTTGTCATAAGTGCAATTTATCAAATGCACAATATTAAAATATCTGTAGTATTCACAACAGAATACCCTTCTGCTTCTATTTTTTGAATGTTTTTCTCTTAAACGGGTATTAGATTTTTGTCAGATGCTTTTTCTGCATCTACTGAGATTATGATGTGGTTGTGATCCAATTGTTTATTAATGTGGTATGTTAATCTGAATGATTTTCTTGTTTAACTATACATTTATTTTCATATTGATATACTACACGTTTAAGTACAGTCTGAGAAGAGCTTCATGCAAAAGCAAAAGACATTTATTGTCTATTCTCAATTCTGGTCCTAATTTGGATCTGTATATTGGACAAGAACAGATGGCAAACTGGGGCATGACAGTAACCATGGATTAAAATCACAAAGTTTCAGGGGCCTGCTTAGTTGCTGAGGGGTTAAGTCTCAGCACTATTACTGCTAGGGCCTGAGTTTGATACCCAACCCCAGAGCTAACCCACAGATGACGCAGCAGACTTCTGTCTCACCTACTGCTCTCCTTAGCAGTGTATTTCAGTAAATCTGCTTCTTCTGCTCCCCATTCTGCCTCTAGTGAATCCTCTCACTCACCATACCCCTGGCCTACACCCCAGTTCTTCTACGCAAAATAAAGTTAAATAAAATAAAATCACAAAATTCCCGATACTTAAAAAAAATGGCTTGTTTTAAATAAAGGAAATATATATTTTTAAAGTTCACATTGAATGTGCATTCCCTATTGTTGTTGTATTAAATCACACTTTCAATCCTTGAAGATATGAGTGTTGATCAACACATCTCTATGACTTGTAAGATAATTAGTGCTAATTCTGATTTAGAACATTGTAGAAGCAATCTCAACCAGACTTAGGATAGGTCAAAATCACTTAATAAGAAAAACACATATGAACCTGGAATTTTTTTTTGCCTGTAAAAGCCAAAAATAATAGTACCAATTTCATTACTTGCTAACTATTTAAGTATCTACTTTAGTTCTCTCTGCTACTAAGTATGATTGATATTCTACTTTACAGTTGAGGGAACTCAGAGAGGTTAAGTAACTTGCCCAAATATTCACAGGTAGTAAGAAGTAAGGCCAGGATTCGGATTCAGGCCCATATGACTCCCAAGACCAAGTTTCTTACCATTACTTGCACTTTGGATACTAGAATTTAACTTATGCACATACACAAAACTATTTATTTCCCTTTTCTAGTAAAATGGGGCCAAAATATGGAAGGTCATATGATTCACAGTATCCTACTTGTTGACCAAATGCTATTTCAAGTCAAAGACTCATTACTATGGGAATTCAACTATGTGATGTACTATTTAGTAGTGAACAAGGCTGTACTGGAACTGCTTTGTATTTAATTATGCAGTTAATGACTTTTGGATTATGATTGATTTTAGTAGATGATATTCACTGACATAAAGCAAAACCCATCTGTAACAAGGAAAAACTAGCTATGCTAAAGTGGTTAATGATGTATTTGAGGAAATTATGACTTAGGGCATTAAAATCACCAAAGAGTTGTTGTGTACAGGGAGCCTGATAATCTCCAACTCTAAACATAACACTGTGGACCAGTGTTCTGGCTCTGGACACTATACTATGTTGGCTTTCCTTTCAACAGCGATGGTACTGGTTTCTGGGTTTCCTTGCAGCCTTTAGCCTGAACTCTATAGCTCTCAAGCCTCTTCTGATCTTTCTTTTCCTTTCTTTTTTATTTTATTTTTGTGTACAAGAACTGGGGTGTAGGCTAGAGGTTACAGGATTCCCCAGAGACAGAGTGGGGAGCAGAACAGGCAGATCTACTGAAATACCTGCTCAGGTGAGCAGCGGGTGAGACAGGAGATGTCTGCTGTGCCATAGGTGAG